AGGCGGGTCACCTGGTCATAGAAGGAGATCTATGAATGTGAGATGGTGTATTCTTCTTGAGAGGACAGACTCTTAAACTTCTCATTTCAACTTTTTTACTTATCTCATGGCAAGAAATCAGACAGAAAGTTAGCATGTCAGAGAAGGGGACACAGATTTGAATGAGGAGAAGAGAAAGGGAAGTTGTTAAATGCCCTGATGTGCTCTAGAGACAGACTGAGCTCTTGAGACAGAGTGTGAAAGAGAAGGAGACAAGAGGAGATTGAGTAATTCGTATCTAGGAATCGTAGGGTGTGGGAAAGGGTGTGGTATATGGTGGCTTCTGATATATCTATATAAGTAGCAAAAATGTTAAGTAGAGGTAATGACAGACATGGATTTGTAAGGGGGAAATAGTGGTGGTGAAAATGGATAGATCATCAGAAATGTTGGCAGAAAAAGAGAAATTAAGTGGAGATGGAGCTATAAGGTAGGAGCGAGATGGATGAAAGGAAGAATAAAGATATTGCCAGATATTACCATATCTGTCACGGTATTGGTGAGGAAATAATGCAAGGTGTTAAAAGGAATTGGGAATAGATTGGCAGTATCAAAAACTTAAAATAAATTAGCAATGCAGCAAATATATTAAAGACAAGCTAACAATGACATAAACTATAGCAATCAATAAAACATTTTCCTAAACCCTTGCTGACATCGAAGTAATGTCAAGGTTTAGGTGCAAAAATGTGAAACTCCAGGAATGAACAGTTCCACATAAGGTATTTGTCCTGTATTTTCATATCTGTCTTACAACTCTGCAGACTGACTAAAGATTACTCCTTTGGAAGTTCTAGGTCTGAAAGACAGCGGTTAATGTGTTTAATTCAAGCTTTATTATGAAAAATTTTAGACCAGCACCTTCAAAATTATCCACTAACTTGGGAAGCCAAGATTTTTGGTAGCCACAGTTGACCCTCATCACATATTTTTCTGAAGAAGTGTTGAGCATAAACAACTGAAAGTATGTCGTTTTTCAATCAACCTGAAAATGCAATTGTACTTATTTTACAATTTAGATTTTTACTTCTAAGTATAAAACTAAGTGGTGGTTGCCCATAATTTATATGAAATGGTTATAACAAGCCAAACCATATATTCTTGTGCAATTTTAAAATAATTTTCCATAAAGCTACTGAACTGTTTTGAAACTGTATTCTGATATTCCAGGCATTTGAAGATATTCACCTGCAGAAGAGAAAAAAAGTGAAAATGCTCCTAGAGTACGCTGATAAAATATTTACCTACATCTTTTTTATGGAGATGCTTCTGAAATGGGTAGCATATGGTTTGCACAGTTATTTCACAAATGCCTGGTGTTGGCTTGACTTCATCATTGTATGTGTAAGTATTATATTCAGCTTGTCTTACATTTTAAATTTTGATATTTTCTATACAGAGAACTACATGTAAAATCTGATTATGAATAAACCCAAGTGTAAAAGACAGTTTTCAAAAGCTGAAAAAAATTGCAATCAAAAGAGACTTTAGGACAAATTTAAACGGAAATTGTAAGTAGTAATCAGAAGTTGCTTAAGAAAATTTTACTAGGTATCATTGTCATTGAGGACTGTGTTGGTTATAAAACCCTTTTCGAGTGTAGAGAGAGAGTGCAATTAGTGATCAGAAATAAAACTAAAATAAATTAATTAAGGTGATAGAAAAATGTGAAGCTGCTGGCAGCTCCATTTAGAAACAGAAAAAAAGTAGAGTTGTTTCCTTAAAGGGAGTTGAAAAATCATTTACCAGATAGTTAAAGGCACAGGAAAGTATGTTTTGCTTTGCAACAAAGAAATCCTAGCAATCCTTTATACAGCTATAAAGAGATATGTTGAAATCATCAATAGTGACATGGAGGAAGTGTGGTGTTCAATATATATGTATTTATTCTGAATTCAGACAAAGTTAAATAATATGATATTGCCATATAAAAATGAAATATTTTTGCTTGTTAACAATACACTGGGTAGATACTGAAGTTAAAGACTTTAAAATAAGGGTATCTAAATATCCAACATCTGATAATGTCAAAGTAGCTGTTTGATAGCCTCTGAATAGTTAGCATTGAAAGTTGTGAAGTACTAGGAAGTTTCAACAGAAAAGTCTGATAATTTGACTATTTATGAAGAATATGTAGCATGGTTTTAGCAATTACAGTTCTGTGATATTAATAACAGTGCTGTCAAGAACAGAACAAAAGCATGAAAATAACAATGGCTAGGCAATGAAACAATAAATTCAAACAGGAAAGAAGAAGCAAATCATGAACAGTGAAAAAAACCCCTAATTATTGAAACAATTTTCCAATGTTTTCAGTTAATTTTGTTTTATCAAAATTTAAAATGAAGACCGGGTATCTTTTTAAAAATACTTTTTGTTTAAACATCACCATCTTAAGTTATGATAAGGAATTACTGTATACACTTCTGAGAATAACTATGCAGAAAATGGGAATATATTATTTGAATAATCATTTCTGGTTTTGTAGTGTATGAAATTACCATAGTTACCAATTTGGTTGTTATACCAGCACTCAAAAATATTATATGAAATGTTTTGGGAAAAAAAAAAAAAAGAAAATGTTTCAAATTAGAATGAAAGAATTCCATTATTTAAAAAATATTAGGAAACAATTAAGTAAAATTATATTACGGTAACTTTGAATGTATATTTTCATTTGATTTACTGGTCACAGATACTGTAACATTCAGCCTATCATTGTCTACTGACACAAATAAAATAAATTTGTATACCATTTAATAATCTCAGTTTCAATTCAATGAACACAGCTGTCATTTGTTTCCTGGGGACTAAGTACTGTTTCCAAAGACACATCACCTTGTTCTTCTGGGAGTGCCCTGAAATCTCTCAGGACTCTTAGAGCATTGAGGCCTCTACGAGCCTTGTCAAGATTTGAAGGAATAAAGGTAAGGATTTTGGGGGTGTATGTGCATATTTGTAACAGCTGCACTTGAAGTTTTTGTGAAAATTACAAGTTGAATCTCTGTTTTGGGACTTAGAGTCATAGAATCTTTGGGTTGGAAGGGACCTTTAAAAGCCATCTAGTCCAACCCCCCTGCAGTGAGCAGGGACATCTTCAAGGAGAGCAGGTAGCTTAGAGCCCCATCGAACCTGACCTGGAATGTTTCCAGGGATGAGGCATCTACCACCTCTCTGGGAAACCTGGGCCAGTGTCTCACCACCTTCATTGTCAAAAATGTCTTCCTTGTATCTAGTCTAAATCTGCCCTCTTTTAGTTTAAAACCATTATCCCTTGTCCTATTGCAACAGGCCCTGCTAAAAAGTCCGTCCCTGTCTTTCCTATAAGCCCCCTTTAAGTCCTGGCCAGCTGCAATAAGGTCTCCCCAGAGCCTTCTCTTCTTTCAACTGAACAACCCCAACTCTCTCAGCCTGTCCTTGGAGGAGAGGCATTCCACTCATCTGATCATTTTTGTGGCCTCCTCTGGACCCTCTCCAGCAGGTCCATGTCTGTCCTGTGCCGAGGGTTCCAGAGCTGGACGCAGCACTGCAGGGGGGTCTCACCAGAGCGGGGCAGAGGGGCAGAATTAAGTTCTCCCCAGAGCCTTCTCTCCTCCAGGCTGAACAAACCCAAGTCTCTCAGCCTTTTGTCACAGGAGATGAAATAGCATCTGGGCTGCAAGCACACATTGCTGGCTCATGTCGAATTTTTCACCCACCAGTCCGTCTTCTTGGCTCTCAATACACTAATCTGCCAGCCTGTATTGGTAGTGGGGATTGCCCTGACCCAGGTGCAGGACCTTGTACTTGGCCTTGTTCAACTTCATGAGGTTCACACAGGCCCACTCCTCAAGCCTGTCAAGGTCCCTCTGGATGGGATCCCTTCTCTCGAGAGTATCAACCGCACCGCCCAGCTTGGTGTCATCTGCAAACTGAGAGTAAGTTTGAGCAGCAAGTTGAGCACTCAATCCCACTGTCTATTTCATCAATGAAGATATTAAAGAGTACTGGTCCCAATACAGACTCTTGAGGGACACCACTCATGACCAGTCTCCATTTGGACTTTGTACCGTTGACTACTACCCTCTGGATGCCACCATCCAACCAATTCCTCATCCATTCAACAGTCCACCCATCAAATCCATCTCTCTCCAATTTAGAGAGAAGGATGTTGTGGGGGACTGTGTCAAAGGCCTTACAGAAGTCCAGATAGACGACATCTGTAGCTCGTCCCTTGTCCACTGATGTGGTCACTCTGTCATAGAAGGCCACTAGATTGGTCAGGCAGGACATGCCCTTGGTGAAGCCACACTGTCTGTTTCAAATCACCTCTCTGTCCTCCATGTGCCTTAGCATAGCTTCTAGGAGGATCTGCTCCATGATCTTCCCAGGCACAGAGGTGAGGCTGACAGGTCGGTAGCTCCCAGGGTCCTCCTTGTTACCCTTTTTAAAAATGGGTGCAATGTTTCCCTTTTTCCAGCCTCTGGGCACTTCATCTGACTGCCAGGACTTTTAAAAGATCATGGAGAGTGGCTTGGAAACTACATCAGCCAATTCCCTCAGGACTCTGGGATGCATCTTACAGATCCCATAGACTTGTGCATGTGCTGGTTCCTCGGGTGGTCTCAAACCTGATCTTCTCTTACAGTGGGAAGGACTTTGCTCCTCTGGCCCCTGTCTTGCAGCCCATCCCCTCGAGAGGTGTGGGAAGAGACACTGCCAGTGAAGACCGAGGCAAAGAAGTCATTGAGTACCTCGGCCTTCTCCTCATCTGTTGTTACCACTTTGCCAGTTTTGCTTATCAGGGGGGTATGTTTTCTTTGACCTTTCTTTTCTGGCTGACATATCCATAGAAGCCCTTCTTCTTATTCTTTCTGTCCCTTGCCAAGTTCAGCTCCAGCCCTGCCTTGGCCTTGCTGACCCCATCCCTACACAACCAGGCAGCATCCCTGTACTCATCCCAGGATGCCTGTCCCTGCTTCCACTGCCTGTGCATTTCCTTCCTGCCCTTTAGC